GCTAAATTAGGGATGGCTAGTGCAGATAGCCCTCGTGTAGCTTTGCGCAAAATTTAAAAACAGACAATGGCACAAGCAGATGAGAATAGTGATTCATTTCCTTTTGTACGGGATGCCAGCCCATTGCATGTTATCCCCCAACTAACAGCTAGGTACCGAACATACAGCTGGGTAAACTGGAACAAGTGGGGTAAAGTGTCTCGCTCAAGTACACAACAGCAAGACACCGGCCAGCCTCGAATTCACAACTATCCAGTTATGAGCCCAAAGTGCTAAGTCATTCAGCCACCCTGTCCCACTTATATACGTATAATATAAAAAAAGTGTAATATAAAAACACTTCAAAATTTCTTCATGAATTGTTTATATGATATTGATATGAAATATCGTTCAAAGGAGTCACTTAGTACCTCTTCTTTTAGTTACTCACGGAACTAGGTCATTCAACTTGGGTGTCACGTGCACTTTCTGATAGGAAAGACTGCAATACGGGATAGAAATAGACAATGATAAGTTTCACTGGTAATTCAGGTGATTTTCCAACGATAGTAGTACATAGATCCAATAATATGATGATTTTAATGTGGACAGTCCTCCAATAATAAAGGAATCAAAAAGGTTAATTACATGAGAGAAGGAGCTAAATGTTATGCCATTAATCTAATCATGAAGATTACTATTAAACAAAGAATTCGATTCCTTAGCTGCAAAATTAATTCACTTCAAAAATGTGGATTTTATATAATTCCTTACAAACTAATGAAATACACTTCCACTGGAGGATTATAAATTCCAATTTCGAAACTATAGGTATTAGTGAATATTATCTTAATATATATTTTGGGAAGACCATTAAAAAGTGACTTTCTGAGTGACTTTCTGGTGATATAATTTCTAAATATTAGGTCTGAGTTAACAAATTTTCTCTGTTTGATTAGAATAAATGCAACCTATTTTTGGAGCCTTTAAGATATAATATTCTGCACTTCTAAATTGAAGTAAGGTAGAATTACCGAAACGTTTTAAAATAATGATAGCAACAAACTCATTCTTTAGAACTTAAAATACACTAAAAAACCGATATTAATCACATATTACAAGGTTAAGCGTAGTTATGGCATCTACCACCCCTAGTGGCTCGGCGGTAAGTTTACAGGCTTGCGACGCCAAAAATCGAGTTACGATACCCGTGGTGAGCAGAGTACAGATAGCTCATCATGTAGCTTCGCAGTTTACAACAACTAACAAACCAATCTTAATATTTTTCTTTTACTACAAGGTTTTGATAGGAAATATATAGGTTACTTAACCTGCCATTTAATAGTTTTCTGGGGCTAAGTATATAAATTTGATTAAGTGATAATTCTTGTTTAAATTTAATTAATGAGTTTTGCATTTAATTCAAATAAGCAAAATTAAATAACTTCTACTACAACAAAGTTGTTCCCACAAGTGAAAGAACATTCAAATTTAAAGATGTCGAATATATCAAGTATATTGGAACACACTGTAGGTGTGTGTGACGTTGTCATACATTAAAATTATTATAAGATCTTAATGAGACCAATGAGGAACAAATATTTCATGTGAAAGATAACTTGCTCTATCATAAACATATATCACAAACAACTCATGTTAGTTTGATATATAAATTACTGAACGTGATTGTATATATAAGAATGCAAAGCTATTTTCTCTGGTACACATTAGTGGTATGTCATGTCTTTTTGAGGAAAAAAAACCCGAAAACTTTTGACCTCCCAACATGCAAACAGAATAAGAAAATCTGCATTCACCTCCAAGTAACAAGTTACAACCCAAACATAAAAATGCTTTCCTCATCAAAGCAGCACCAGAAGTCATACTAAAAATCCTAGTGTTATCTGGCTCTCAAGACACCACAAAACTCTCGGCGAGTATTGTTTGACAGCTTGTAACATGACTGGCACTTATAGACACCACAAAACTCTTGGTGGCTACAGTTCTGACACTTTGTAGCAGGCCTGGCACTCATAAACACCACGGAAGTTTTGGTGAGTATAATTTGACAGTTACAGCATGCCTGGCAGTAGAAACCATAAACTTTTGATGAGTACAAAAAGGTTCCTAAACCCTGGAATAAAAAAAAGGATCAGCATTAATGGTGTGTTACAGCTAAAATCTTGTACCCAGTGCTGATAGAGTTATGCTTACTTAATGTGTCTATTTGATATATTACCTTTGTTTTCAGTGAGATTAATTGATTATAAATGACATTTCTCAAAGCGAGTGTTTTGTCCAAGAACTTAATATTATATATTTATATTTCTCATACATTTGTATTGGAAAGTTTAATAAAATTTGTACACTTCCTTTGTATTTGACGCATCATGAAAAAATATATAGATAATTTTCCCCCGTAAATAACTAAACATCGTAAACATTATTAATAACTAGCAAAGACCGCAAAACATTTGCGGCCAAATTAGTATCTTTATTGCAACAGTACTTCTTTAAATACAGGATTTCTAGAGTAATACAAAATAATTCTTTTCGCAGACACTGAAATAAGTCCACTTGTTTTAGTCCTAACATTAGTTAAGCCTTTATTAAGTACGGCCTATATTCGATATACAGATAAATGAACACTGTAACTTATGTAAATTTTTTGCTTTAGTTCAGTTAGGGCTAAACCTTACCGCACTTAATACTATCAAAATAAAATCTTGTAATATCATTGTACGAACTAACGTTTGACCTTTTTAAAAACTTTGATTAGCTTTTAATATGTTGTATAAAATGTCTAATAAAGTATTTTTACGTCCTTTTTAGCGTAACTCGACGATCTAACAAAGATACGTTTTCAAATTGCGAAAAAGGTGCAATTTTTTTGTACATTTTAGTCCAAATATATCTTTAATTTTCGATCAATCGTAGACGACTCACTTCTAATTGACAGGAAGCCAAACTATTTAAATTATGTAATAAGTTGCTATGACATCATTGCGTGACCGAGAGACAGACAGACAGATACACACTGTATTTTACAGTATTAGATTACTGCTGAATTTTTAGTACAGTTTGAGAACATTTTCATAGTCAGTTATGTCATATCAAAGAAGTTTTTTCAGGAAGTACTTATAATCTTTGCTAAGTTTAGTTCCACACCTAAAGCCCATTCATGTTATCTTCTAAAGGAAGGAAAGCCTATTGTGTCAAACAAAAGACAAACGTACTTTATCTAAATATAAGAAAAGTTTAGAATTTTTTCGTATCAGTGATGTATTATTTGTATTTTAGGGTTGGGCTTTATACAGTGAACATTTGGGCAACGAACTTGGATTGTTTGAAGATCCATATTTTCGGTAAGAAGATTATGCTTTAAAGCAGGTGTTGATATTATGTTCTAAAATATGCAAATAAAAATTTTATGATGAGGATCGCATTTCAGGAATATTATTGTGTTTGTGACGTTAATAATCCAAAATATACCAGTGAATCATATTTTGGTATTATCTTACATCTCAACAGACTGGGACATCTTTCAGAGGAAATATTCCGAGCTTGCAGACTTGTCGTCGACACTGGAATCCATGCTTTAGGGTTAGTTATTAATTATTTTATTTTAAGTGAACATTTTAAAGAATTATGAAGAAAAGGAAATCTTTGTTGGTTTTTCTAGTTTTATTCTTAATTCTATGTATATTCTTTTGTTCATTTTACAAACTGATGACGTACTTAAATTTCAAAATTTAATTCTTAATCACATCCCATTTTTGTATGCAAGTATTTATTCTAGAGATTTACGAATAATATAACTTTCTGCATTTTAATTTTAAATATTTAACAATGTGGCTTTATGTTGAAAGAGAATATTAGTAGCTTGTTCCTGGAATTAAAAGAGACACTCCAAAAGACAGCATATTCAAATATTGACCTCTAATTTATTCTGTACCATTGATGTGCTTGTTTGGTTCTTGTTAAGCACAAAACTACACACTTTGCTGAACCCACGGCGAGTATCGAAACTTTATTGTTAGTATTATAACGCCTCAGCCCGTTGAGCCACTGGAGGGCAACATTGATATGAACAGTTTCTTTCTATAAAAAATAAATAAAACAATAACCTATAATGTCCTCTGTAGCTGAATATTCTGCGATTTAATTGAACAACAGATTCATTTTTTAAGTTGTATAAATAAGTTGTTGAAATACGATTAAACGTGTCCAAATGTTTGAATTACCAACATATAATTCTCATTTACTATCTGTGCCACATCCTTACACCAAAAACAAATATAAAAAAATTATTGAATTTTTTATGACACAACATACAAAAAGTGTGGGAGGAGGGCACACAAACATCTTATATAATTCAGAGAGTGCGCTAACACTCTCTACGAAGGAATGCAATGAAAAACCATGGCCGCCAATATTGCAATACTACATAAACTCAGCTGAAATGTCTACTCCAACAGCTACCATAAGGCTGATATTAAGAGCCGTTTCTTGAGTTATTCCCACTTCCTACTTTGACCTATGACATTTCAACTTCAGCCCGTAAGACACTTCTGCCGCCAATGACCGTCAATTATTTAATCAAGTGAAACACTGTAGAAGAACATTAAGAACTGGGTATTGAAAGCGGGTAACAGGAAGCACCCCTATCGCCATTATTTTTGCCGCTATCTCTTCCTACAAAGTCACCCTGATCATAGCGCAGTGTATACCATGTTTTAATTACATACATATTGAGTTCTTAGGGCTTAAACAAAACTTTTGGTAAGGTAATAATGGATACCGTAATAATATGTTATGTTATAAATAACTCTGTGAAAGTGGATTTTGGATTTTTGTATTATTTTCCATAGCATCCACCACTATTTTTTTTAAGTTCAGTAACCTGCCAAAGGACATGCATCTCAACTTGTACTTAATATTTTGCCCCCCAGTGACACAGCGGTATGTCTGCGGACTTACAACGCCAGAACGGTTTCGATACACGTGGTGGGCAGAGCACAGATAGTCCATTGTGTAGCTTTGTGCTTAATTACAAAACAAACAAACAAACTTAATATTTTCTAATTAATTCTATTGAAGACCTCACTTCAGTTCAGACCCAGTGGTTAGTGCGCCGGACCATAGATCAATGTTTTCTCGGCAGAAACGCAGGGTAAAAATCTCGCTCCACATTTTAGGGCCGTGAAAACATTATAAGAGATTGTTAAATCCAAATATTCGATTAGCCCACGGGTTGGCGGTGTTGACTAATTTTCTTCCCTCTAGTCTAAAATTTTAAAATTAGGGATCGTTAGCGTAGGCAGCTCTCGAGTAGTTTTACACAAAATCCAACAAACAATAACAACAAATCATTTCAGTTATTAAATATTGACATCATTGCATTTTGTTGGAATGATTCTTGTCATATAAACAACAATGATAATTTATATATATATAACAAACGTCTATTGCAGAGAGTATTCAATACAAATAAATATGATTAGTACATTATTATTTTTGTATGTTTAAATGGAAAACAATAAGCACTATAACTTTATTTTTAGTGGATTACTTAAGTTGTTGAACAGAATTATTATCCGTCAATCAAAATACATGATCAGTTGTGTTTTAATTACAGATGGAGTCGGGATAAAGCCATTAATTATATGTTAGAAAACTCAGCTTCAACTAGACAAAACATTGAGAACGAAATTGATCGCTACGTCACGTGGCCTGGCCAGGTATGCTTAACCAGTGTTAATAATTTAGTTATCTATTTATTTGTGATAAATATTGCAAGATTAGCAAGTTAAAAAGAGCTAAAATATGTTAATGCTTGAATTTTATGTTTTGTGGCACATTTATTAATAGACATGTTCAAAAAGAGGCCATTATACCTCGTTTATCTCGACTTATTCTGAGATCAGGAAACGAGGAAAATGAACGAAATTTTTAAATTTTGAAACTCTGTAAATCAATAAAGTTCTTGTTTCGAAATAACTCGTATTCTGTCCTCTGTTTCATGACGTTTTTTGTCCTTTTCAATTCATTTAAACGTTTTAATGAATAGTTTTTTGGTATTGAAAATATCTCATTTTTTATCCTTGAATTTAGGCTTGTGCATACAAGATAGGAGAAATGAAAATAAAAGAACTGAGAAAAAAGGCAGAAAAGGACCTTGGTAGGAAACTAACTAAATTTTTATCTCTGTTTTATAGTTCAATATGTTTCTTTTTGCTGAAATACGAAGATGTGAATTTTTTTCCGAGTTAAAATATTTTTAAGCGTTGGTTTATTTTCTCTTATTAACAGGATTACTCTTTCCTATACTATACCAGTCTGTTTTTAGTGGCACGTGGTTGTATTTTGTCATATCTCTTTGACAATTTCTTATCAAATGTGAAGACTAGTGAATGAAAATATATTGTTGGTTTTGTGAAGTCATGGAGCGATCTACAACAAAGTGGGAATTAATGAATCCCACCTCTGAAACAACTTTATTGTAAACCGCTTCTATACCACATTGTTACAGGTTAGGACTTTGTTGTAGACGTGGTATTCTTGTACTTCGCTTTCACTTCTTATGCCCATCTATTTTATTGGGGTCATGCTCATACTAAAGTAAATGTAACAAATTACTCTTTATGTGTATATAAATAAAATATAGGTTTGGAACTAGGAATTATTTCTTTCTTTTAGTACATTACTTTATTCGTTCTCTCTTACACCTGCAAAGCTTTTTTTTTCTATTTTGATCGCCTTGACTTTTATATATCTTCCTATAAACCACGCCAAAAGGTCCCCTTTTCTCCAAGCTTGCACCTGTTTTTTTGTAATTTGGATTATGACGTTCATAATCATATGGTTCTTGCAGCTTCCAAATTCTTTGAACTTAGAAAGGAGGCTGCTTCCTTCAATAATTCTCTAATGAATATGTGCTATAATTTCTTAATCCCTTGGAGACTGGCCAAAAATGCATCCGTAATAACCTTCAATATTTGATGGACGGGTGGCTAAGAAACTCCTATGAAGATCGGAGAAAGAATTGGTTGGGGTTTAGAGAAGTTAGAAAACGGCCGAACGGTTTCGAAACTTGGTATTGTAAGGTTTCGAAGACTGTCTTCCTCAACTCAGTCTCATGAAATGGGGCTGTCTGGACTGATCATAATGATCAGGTAATACTACAAGATGGACAAGCTTTTAAAGGAAATTTTGGTATAGTGCAAGGAATAAAAATTCTCATTTCTTTTATGCTACTCATATCGTTCCTTATGGAATAGACTTTTTTACAGGTCTGTTTATCTTTAATAAGTTAGTCATTTCCAATAGCTGTTAACGTTTTAAATACCAACTTTGAAAATCATAATAATGTAAAAGTTATGTATATTAATAATATCTAAAATATATTTGAAAGAAATTAATTCTTTTAGTTACATTTAATACCCTGAAGTTTCTAAAATTCCAGAAAGTTTAGAAAGTAAAAATATTATTTTATAATTCATCTTATCACTTAACTAAATACACAAACGTTTTTTTTTCTTTTTCAGGAAAGAACTTTGATATCAAAGAGTTTCACGAAGTCATCCTAAAAAACCAGGGTCCACTAAAGATTCTGGAAAAACAAGTGGAAAAGTACATCCAGAAAAGCCAACACGAAATGGGGCATAGTTCCACTGGATATCCTTATCGATCATGTCTGCCATATTTCAGCGTCGTGTTTTTTGTGTGGGCGTTTACGTATATTTCCTTCTAACGATCTGTCACGTGACAGCTATTTTGTTCTTTTGTTATTAATCAGAAAACTGGTTCATGCTTTTTTTAAAGAGGAATGAAACTTTTATGTTAACACTGAAACGTAAATGTTTGAAATATCTTACTAAAATGGACGTAGTGTGTATGTATCTATGTATATAACCAAAACGTCTGCGCCATCCATCGATTGGCATCACAAACAAAAATCCATAAAAAATTCACATTTTGGGTATTCAAGGTTAAGTCAATTTCAAAAATAACTATGGTATATGCACCAACCGTTTCTTCATAATATAACACAATTTTAAATAAAATACTCTTATCATAATAAAAACACGACTTTCACCAGGACTGTACGTGAGAATTTGATTATATCTTTAATGATGTAATTTTTAAACGTAGTACTAAAAAAACTATTCTTTTTTAAATAAAGGATATCACTTTTTAATATATATATATATATATATAAGAACATTACAGTTTATATCAGTAAAATTTATAACAAAATTTGAGCTCTGTACATTGAACATACAAAGAGCACAATCTGAACATTTTTCCTGTGAAGTACTTCCCAGAAAAAAATACGTTTTTTTTAGAATTAAGTATGAATATTATGATTAGTAATTACTAGCATAAATAGCAGCCCGTAGGGTGGCGTTTATACTAGTACTAAGAATATTGAAAGGTAATAATAGTATGTACTAAGATAAGAATTATCAATAATATTAACTAATATACACTGTTTCTGAAACATTTTTGTATATACATGCCTTTCGGTTGAAAAAAAATGACACTTTATTCCCGTCTTAATATTCAGAATTGTGACGCATTATTTTAACTGAACGTTTAAGGGATGACAACTATAAAAAGGAAATACAATCTACGTTATTGAACAGAGGTCTTACGCTTCACACGTTTCTATTGCTACAAGCAATCAAGTTATCAAACCATACATTCACGGGAGCCGTCAAACAAAAACATAACTTCGTAGTTAAGTCATACTCTTTCGTTTACGAGAACAACTCTTCTAAATATTGAAAGTCTTTGAACAAACATACGGTCTCTAATACTAGCATAAACGTCACTCTTGTTTTAACCATTAAACCGCTGCTACAAGTTTTCGTGTGTTCATACTGAAATACCTTTACTACAATTACCCATTATCAAAGGACAAATGGTAGATCTATGTTTACCCATGTTTATGGTTCTTTATTTACTTTAAGATTTTATTTAGAGTGCGTCCATACATCTATCTAGCTTAATCGTTCATCGCGTATGATTTTACAGATAAAATTAAAGAAATTTCAATTTAGTTCGCTTGAACATAAGGCCTGAGAATAAGACGGAAACAAAGTATTGTTCTTCGGCATTCAACTCGTAGTACCTTTGTTTCCATCTGTTGTTCCTGTTCCATATTTCCTCGGACCTTGAAAACTATTTTAAAAACTTGAAAGTGGTCATTAATGCACATTTTAGAAAAGAGGAAAAAACCTACCTATAACCCTATCTGTCGACTATTTTCATATAAATATCTTGCCCAGCTTTTAATCTGCCTGAAGAATGTTAAGTACTCACCCGCTTTCATATCTTTCAGTCTTTGTATTAAATATTTTCTAAACTGTTGGTATTCTTTACTCGTTTTTCAGTGCCTCATGAAGTATGAACTTCAATTCGACTACCATAGCTAAACGTGTGGACATTACTGAATATCTTATTTTCTTACTGTTTCTGAACAAGGTAGTCAATATACATGAATATTGTGTTAACTGTATTTACTTTTAATGTTATGCCTTATAATTCTCTATGTTATACTGGTTCACTGAGTGTGTTATTAAAACCACTGCTGTTCTGGGTTTTGTTTTGAACAAAGTTTATTTCAGTATATATCTAGTATAAAAGTAAGTCCTATGAAGTCTTTTCTAACCGTTTATATACTTACACAGCGTCCAGTTTCGACTGCAAGATAATTATGTTCCAGAATATGTAACATTAGGATGGAGTAAGCCAGGATAGGCAGATATGAGTCATCTGTTTATGTTGTGGATAATAGGCTTGTACAGACATCCGTACAACTGTACTATTAGTTTGGAAGAAGTTTCACATTTTCTAACGACACTTTAAAACATTTCTAGCCAAATTGCAACAGTCTGCTTTAATCGGCGGCCTCCATTCGTACTGTAGTTGTCTACATAAAACATCCAAAATATCTTCTTTCAAGTCTTATAAATAATTTGTGATTCTTAAAACTTTTTGTTTATCTTCAAAGTGACAATATTGTGTACATCACTTTATATAGACTGAATCACTATCATTTCATATCATATATCTGATCACCATATGCCTGATTTACGTCGAAATTTATCTTCTTAGAGTTATTTCAAATCCCAACGATTCAACGGTAAGCCTGCAAGCTTACAACGCTAAAAATCCGTTTTCTATATCTGTTGGTGGCAGAGCACTGATAGTCCATTGTGAGGCTTTGTACATGACAATTGCTTGTTTTTTGTTGTTGTTTTTTTTGGATTTCGCGCAAAGCTACACGAGAGCTATATTTACGCTAGCATTCCTAATTTAGCAGTGATAGACTAGAGGAAAGGCAGCTAGTCAACACCACCTACCGCCAATTGTTGGGCTACTCTTTTACCAACGAATAGTGGGATTGACCATCGCAGTATAACGCTGACGATGATAGAGTTTCGAGCTCGCAACCAGCAGATCGCGAATCGAACACCATAACCATTAAAACATGTCAGGCCTATGCACTTAACAACAACCAAATTAAACTATTTCGATTAATGTTGTTTTGTACAATGCACCTTAAAAAACTGACTCCACTTTTTAAGCATTCAATATGCTAATAATATTAAAGTAGTTAAAATGTTCACAATATGTTAGAAACGGCTAAAATATGATTAACTAAATGAAACAGAACACGATTTATTAAAACGCTGTGTTATTTTTTTCCCAACTCTTTAATTATTTCAGTAGTAATATAACACATAATTACATTATTTTATTTTTTAGCCTTCATGTGAATATATCAGAAAGATTTATGTGATTCAATGAAAAATGCGGTAGATGTAGTTCTTCTTTCTAGAGTCCTGGTGACGAGAAAAATTCTAATCAATTTTTCAGAATTTCAACAACCGGCATCCTCCAAATTGACAAGTGTCACAGTGAAATATGTAACGTATGTTTGGTAGTACATTACGTGCATCGTACGTGCTCGTTTAAAGTTCATTTGTCCCGCTCTCACACCCCAGTGGCTCAGCGGCAGGTCTCTAGGCTTATAACGCTAAAAACTGGGTTTCGATAGTTGTGGTAGGGAAAGAACAGAACTTAACTACGAACAAACAATTAAAGTTTATTTACTACAAGTTACTAAAATACATTTAATTTTCAATTTTATTTGATAAAATTTATCAGGCTAGTTGTAAGTTAGTTTAGTCACATTATTTTGTTTTTACTTTTAATATTTGCTACGTATCTAAAACTGGCGCAGACAATTTTTTTGCTTATAAATTAATAATTACACAGGCCTGCGAATTTAAACTTCATAAACCTTGTTTTAGTTTTAATAACGGATTTTCCATAATTCAGCTACGCAGATTTCGAATCGGGAAGAAATAAAAAACTCTTACTTAGATCAAATTATTATTTCGTTTATCACAATGAACATGTTTTATTATTATTATGATTGTTAATAAAAATACAAACAAACTGAAGAAAAGGGAAGAACACTGATGTCAAACGAATGTGCCCTCCTCATACATCCTGATTTTTTGTGTGAAATTACGTTTTTATAGTTTTAAACTACGTCTTGTGGTCTTTCTTTTACGTATTGCGTTAACTTGTTTGGTGAAAAATCTGTACGTGATGGAGAAAAA